TAAAGAAAGAATAGAATATAGCGCCCGCCTTCAGGACTTTATTGAATCTAGCGCCTTCCTTACCTTATTGAATCTATCGAGCTCCATATAGACAAAAGTGGAATCTATCGAGCTCTATATAGACAAAAGTAATAACACACACGGACTGCTTACTCTATTCTGCCCTACGAACGCTAATATAATTACTGGATTCTTGCCCTATATTATTGCCGCTATCTTATTGCTCTTGCATGTTTTCTCTAAAGAATGGAATTGGAAGCCATAGGCGATGAACAATTTGCCCCTTCAAGTAGTGGTCTGGTGCCTAGTGTCTTGGCTGTTGCCATAGGTATGCCAGCTGGGGGTATATCGAATCAATCCATTAGGGTAGAGTGGTGACCGCAACTCTGAATGATATTACTAGGGTAGGGGAAGTTCTCTATAATGAACCTAGCAGTAGGGCAGTCAAGGAAAACGAACAGTCAAATCCTGTAATTTCATCTTACCTTAACCGGCCAGTACTTTCCCAACGCTGCTCTGCTCCTCCGCATTTGAACTTCGATTCGGCTTCGGCTTCTGTATAGGATGAAACAGATTGGCTTAGCGCATAAGATTCTTTTCCTGTTTACCCTGCTTGAACTCTAGCTCTTGCTAAGACTAGGATACAAGTATAACATAAACTGAGACCTGGACCTGGACCAGCTTATTCAATTGTTGACTTCCCGCTTGCACCACCGCTTGCACCTGCTCTTGTTCTTGCGCCCGCATCTTCACTTTCTCACTTCACTTTGATACTGTAGGATGCCACTGAACCTCTTCTATTAGGATGAAACATGATATATAGTATGAAACTCCTTGACTAAGAGACGAGATTGAATCACTTACCGCTGCTTGCTGCTGCTGATGGTGATTTACGCTGAGTAAGGAGTGAGGTTACCACGGAGGGAGTAAGATGTCAGCAGTTAGGGTTGAGTTCGGGGTTAACACTTATTGGAGTTGAAAGCGGGGGAACAAGCACCCGCTGCCACTCAATTCTCTTCAACAAATACGGAATGGAATGCGGATCACTTCGAAACTCCATAAGCGCGAGGGAGAGAGAGCTTCACTTTAGAACTATCTATAGAAGCAAGCTGGTAATACTTTAGAACTATCTATAGAAGCAAACTGGTAATTATGGAAGAAGAGCTTAACCTATGTCCTGGTCCAAAATGCTATACGCTACTATGCTCTTAGCTAGATTCAATGATTTGGTTTTCAGTGAAGATTACCCGCTTGCAGATGACCTCCTTTATACTGATTGACTTAGGGCGGAATTCGAGGAAACTGAGAATATCTCTCGAGCACCAATGATAGGAGAAAGTAAAGACATTGTTTGTGCACCTTCACCCTCTCACACTGGACATTCTGTTGAACAAGGCTAAGCTGCGGGACAATCAGTTTCATTACCAACAAGAGGTGTTCATTATTGATTAGTTTGAACTACTCCACCCGGTTAAGGCGGCTTAAGAGAAACCCCTATTTCTGGTCGTTTAACCTCTGTTCCACTAAGAAAGAAAATAGCGAAATTCTAAAGATACAGAAAGAGCTGGATCAGGGAAAGTTTTGTAAACAAGAGATGAAGCTAGATCAGAAGCCGTTATTAGCCTAAGAACATAGACCTCTGAGTGAGAGTAATTAATACACGTGGATTCCTTCCCGCCTTACCCACACTTAAAGAACTCGATAACACACGACGCGAAATGGCTTGTTTAGTTAAGAGGAAGTGCTATTGCTATATATGATCTTTTCATTCATGTGCATTCGGGGTGCTGAAGAACTAACCGTTAGCCAAAAACTGGACTTGATGATTCTTCCCCAATAACCTCCACTTTAAGAATGAGATTGAACTGACGCCACTGAACCTTCTGAGGATCTTGTTGACAAAACGAAAAAGTATGATTCTCTTGGTGCTGTTGACTGACTTGAATTTGCTGATTCTCTCTATGACCTAACTCGCACTGATTCTTTTATTTATATGAAATAATATGATACTCGAACAGAACACCTTTCTAAAGAAAGAAAGCTTCTTCGGCGAGAGCTCGAACAGCCTCTCATCTAGAATACCTGGCTGGCACTCGACCTCTAGTGTTAACGCCTCTATCTCCTCTTTCTACAAATACAGATGATGCAACTGGGGATTCCACTTCAAGTCAAACACCTGACCTATCTACTACTACTAATAAGGGATATACAAATCAGATACTAAACTCAGAATAAGGGACAGGTCTTCCACTCCTAAACTCCTCAAAATCAGAATAAGGGATCTACTAACTGGGCCAATCCACAACTACCTTACTTGCTTCATTTCCAAACCCACCTCCATTCTTTCCCTCACTCGATCCATTCTATAAGTTAGTTAACAAGGCTTATACCCACTGGCTCTATTCCGAGTAGGAGTAGCTCCATTCTTAGATGCACTCGTTTCAGCCTATCCCTTGCTCGTTCCATCCTTCGACTACTTAGCTCCAATCTCTAACTCCCTTGTTTCGTTCTATCACTTAGCAGCTCCATTCCGAGTAGGCACCGAATCAGTCCTAGCAACAGTGGTTATAGCCTAGGAAGCACCGGTTTGGTTCTGATCTTAGTGTGTGTTAGATGCGGCTTTCAGGTCATAGGTCTAATTCTTGGATTTAGTGGTTTGATTCTGATAGTTGGGTGCCCTAGCCCTGTTAGCACCGTATTAAGTCTTAGATGTACTGATTGAAGCCTTGGTTCCATTCTTTGGTTCACTGGCTTGGTTCTGAGTATACCGAGCTTCAGGCTTGGACGGGTAAGTTGCACTCTGCTCGGGAGTGGGCGGAGCCTGAGTTGGTATTGGTTTGGTTCTTGCACTCCTGGAGGTAATTCTGATTGGTTACCGGTTGAAGCCTGTTCATTTTCTCTTTCCCTGGTGGCACTCACTTCCAAGTTTCTGTTAGGTTCTTATCATAGTAGGATTCGGCGCGCTTTTCTTCTTTTACTTCACATAGCTTTTCGTAGGGCTAGCTTTTCTTTCTTCTTTGACTTGACTTAGCTTTTCGTCTCCTTGATAGCTGGAAGTTCTCCATAAGTATGAAAGGCAGGAGGACTTTGTACCATCCATTCCGGTGTGGTTGGATTCTGTTCAACAGCCCAAGGACTTGGAGCACATCTATTGTTCTTTCCACTGCTTGAAGTGATTGTTACGACCACAAAGAAACGACAAATCCCAACTACTGATATATAAGATCCGAAACTGCTCAGAGCATTCCATCCGGCATAAGCATCCGGATAATCAGGAATGCGACGTGGCATACCCGATAGCCCTAAGAAATGCATGGGAAAGAAGGTCAGATTAACCCCGAAAGAAGTGATCCAAAAATGTATTTGTCCTAAAGTTTCAGGGTATGTCCGACCAAAGATTTTACCCACCCAATAGTGAAATCCTGCAAATAAAGCAAAAACGGCTCCCATAGAGAGTACATAATGGAAATGTGCAACTACATAATAAGTATCATGTAGAGCAATGTCTAGCCCGGAATTTGCTAGAACTATTCCAGTGAGCCCTCCTATAGTGAACAAAAAGATGGACCCTACTGCAAATAACATGGGTGTTTTGAATTGTATCGAACCTCCCCACATAGTAGCGATCCAACTAAAGATTTTGATCCCAGTAGGGACAGCTATGATCATGGTAGCAGCGGTGAAGTAGGCACGCGTATCAACGTCTAAGCCCACAGTAAACATATGATGAGCCCAAACAAGAAATCCAAGAACACCTATACTGATCATGGCATAAACCATGCCTAGATACCCGAAGACCGGTTTTTTCGAAAAAGTAGAAACGATATGACTTATGATACCGGATCCAGGCAGAATTAGGATGTAAACTTCAGGGTGCTTCTCTCTTCTACTACTATAAGCGGATGAATAGAAGAAAGGTAGACTATATCATCGCGGATGAATAGAAGAAAGGTGGACTATATCATCAACTTATTCCATTTGTCTAGGAAAGCTAGCCATGCTTTATGGTGAATACTGTCAGGTTGAAATGCTTTGAGATCGTAAAGACTGTAATATTCCTCAATAAGGAAGAATCGTAGTGATTTATTACTTCGGAAAGTACTTGATTTAAAGTAATCTAGCATCATGATAACATCTTTTCGACTTTGTACAGACCATTGATAGTGACCATTTTGACTACTATCAAAGTAGATATTTCCTCCAAATACGACCTTATAAGACTCACAATCTTGTAGAAGTTTATTATTGACTCGAATACTTAGTTGAGGTAGTCGATGCTTCATAGCGAGACCAATGGTACCATCAGCATCAAAGAATCCTGCAAACCAATTGGATTGAGCATCTAGTGTAATAGGTAGAATGAAAGGGATATCAAGTACTTGACAGACACGATGTAGTTGAAGTAGTCGTGCTGAATGTCGAATATTACCATTAAGACTATTGATTAGTTGAATCATACCAAGTTGATTATGTAGTCGATAACGATAAGCTTTAGCACCTGCTCGAATTTTGATACTTCCACCAAGCATATGTTGGATATATCGTAGTAGTCGTAGATCTGCAAGTCCCATAGTAATTTCCAGAGAAGTAGATCCTTGTTTACTAACTTGAATACTTCCAGCACCATCGAGAATTCCTGCTAGCCACTCACAGAAGGATTTAGGATAAGTTGTTGCGCATGTAGTCTCTGAGGTTCCTACTAGACTGCTTTTATGTCGTTGGTTACCTGCTGATTGTGTCTTAGATACTCCATTTTGACTAGATCGGGGTTTGACTAGAAAACCACTTATGAACATAGTAGGAGTACCATTAAGCAGACAGTCCCAGCATATAGCGCAATGCGTATTCCGATTGGAATCAGAAAAGGGCCTTTGAAAACCGAAGAACCGAAAGAGATGCTGGTATAATATAGGGTCTCCCCCTCCAGCAGGATCAGAAAAGGTTGTATTAAAGTTTCGATCGGTTAATAACATTGTTATTGCCCCTGCCAGTACCGGAAGTGATAATAAAAGTAGGAAGGCTGTAACTAGAACGGACCACACAAAAAGGGGTGATCTATGCATAGTCATTCCAGGTCCACGCATGTTAAAGATAGTGGTTATAAAATTGATAGATCCTAAAATTGATGAAACACCTGAGAGATGAAGACTAGAAATTGCTGAATCAACTGCTCCTCCAGAATGGCTGGTAATACCACTTAAGGGCGGATAGACCGTCCACCCAGTGCCGGTACCCACTTCTACTAGGGCTGAGCTTAATAGGAGCAAGAGACTTGGTGGCAACAACCAGAATGATATATTATTTAATCGTGGAAATGCCATGTCAGGTGCACCTATAAGAATCGGTACAAACCAATTTCCAGATCCACCTATCATCGCCGGCATAACCATAAAAAAGATCATTAAAGAAGCGTGAGCCGTTATTAACACATTATAAAGTTGATAATTACCACCAAGAATTTGATCGCCGGGTCGAGCTAATTCCATACGAATCAGTACGGAAAAGCATGTGCCCATCACTCCTGCAATGGCACCGAAGAGAAAATAGAGAGTACCGATATCCTTGTGGTTTGTGGAGAAGAGCCATCGGACCAGATTTGTAATTACCTTATTGGTCATGAAAGTGGAAGTGACTTTCCTTCCTTTTCAGAGAGGGGCCCTTACGAACGGGGCTGAGATATTGAAAATGACGGCGAAATTATAGCGTGAGTGACCGAACCCACCTTGTTCTAGCGTATCAGTAAGGCTGTTGTCGGTAGCCACCACTGCACCCAGAAGCTTATACTTGCACTATTGCTAGGCCCTTCAAAAAGCATTAAAGAGAATAGAAAAAAAGCAGTGAAAGAGATGAGAAAAAAGCTGTTAAAGAGAAGAGAATCGGTTCATTGTATCAATCGAGAAAAGTGCTAATTACTAAGATGTTGCTAGGGAAGGGCCTCTATTCTATGGTTGAAAATAGTCCCTGCCGGATTAGAAGCTAGACTCTCATACTAGAAACTAAGTCCTCATTCTGACAGGGGATCCTCGTACGAGTCGGGTAGCTGCCTCCGTCCTGTCGGCTACTCCTCTAGTTTGTGAATTAACAGAGTCTTTCCTTGCTACGGATTGGGTTGTCAATCAGATCCGTATAGAAAGAGGTGCCCATGGGTTGTGTGTGATTCTAATTAATGAAAAAAAAGAGAATGATTCTCATTAATGAAAATAGAATAAGATAAACATCTCCATTTAGATCTCTATAGTTATATATATATTGGATATAGGTGCTTCTATTATATGGTATATCACTTAGGTGCTTCTATTATATGGTATATCACTGCGTACTGGGACTATTATGCATTCTTCAATCATGGTGGGCATCTGGAGGCTGGAGGCCTTGGTTCTACCAAACTCACGTAAGCAAAAGGGGCTATGATCTATGTTTCTGTCTTGACTTTAATAAGGGGTGAACTATGATCTCCGTTTCTGTCCTTAATAAGGGGTGAACTATGATCTCTGGGAGTGATAGCGGTGCCCGAACAACAAGATGAAGTTTGCACAACTCCTTACTTATTGAATATTAGATAGAATCTCTCTTGCAACTAAAAGATAGGAACAAAACAACTCTAAGCTATACAAAACTCTAAGCTATACCGCCGAATTGAGTTGAGGCACATTGAAGGCTAGACTAAAGTACTGACTTCTTTTATTGCCCTGTGCTTATAGGCTTATTGAATAGATTTGCTTGTTTACTTGAATTGAACTAAGACTAGAAAACACATATAGAAAGAAGATTGTAACCAACCAGAACATTGCTTCGTTTCCTTGCCAAAGCGTTAGCACAAACAAGCTAGCTATGGCTTTTGATCCACCCGGCATTAGGAGTTTAGTTCACCTAAGCTTGCTTCTATCCAGCATATGATACAATGGAGTAACAACCTTCTAAACAGGTTACTTAACTCTAAAACAAATCTGTTCCCCTGCTTGTTCAAATGTTTTGGCAAAAGAAAGAATGGAATTGAGTGTACCCTTAATGGTTTCATGTAACCTGAATGCTTCTTCCGGACTCTGAGGCATAGGCACCGTGTTAGATAAGTTTCTACGACTCCCTTGCCAATACGGAAAATCATATAGATAGCAGCGTTCTTACAATAGAATAAGGTAACCTCAAAACCTATTACTTTGATTGTTTACTTGTTCCAGTTTTCGGCTAAAGGGAGTTCTTTCGCACAACCTCTTGTTGAACTCAGCTAGGCACCGCTATCTCTAACTCTCTACTCTAAACTCACATGCTTTGCTTCAGTAACCCAACTCTAATCTCACTGCTTTGTTTCCTGACGGCAGAAGCCACTTGATACTTTGTCGAGCTGTATGGCATGGCGAGTAGGGCCGGGCCTGTTGAATATGGAACTAACTACTGCGCTTAATCTCGCTAACACCCAACAACAAGTAACGACCAAAACAAAGAGATATGGTCCACAACAAAGAGATATGATCCACAACAAAGAGATATGATCCACAACAAAGAGAATATAGAGGTATGCCCCAAAACAATAAGCCTAACGCTATGGCATAAGTAAGCCTAACTATAGTTTAGCTAACGCGAGCTGAACGAAAGCTATTACTAGTTCCAATGGCGAACTCTCTAAGGTGGTGAAAGGGCGAAAGAAAAGAGTGGATTGAGGCAGCCTCACCCTAGACTTTTGTGAAGAATTATTGCCTTGGCTCTTAGCACCTTGCTTGTTAGCTTGTTTTCATGTCATCTAGCTATAGGATATAGAAGCACAAGTAAAAACACTGCATTGCTTCGTTCGAAACTCACTGTTAACTTTTAGCGGAGTTGAACATAGGCGCATATGGGTGAAACTATACTAAGCGCTACTTTCTATTTTCCGTTGCTTGTTGGGTATACAAGGAAAAAGATCTAGGTATGGCCTGCCTGCTTTACTGTCTGAAGCGCTAAGGTAAGAAAGTCGGAGATATCAGTGCTTGTGCTAACTAAGCATCCATTCGAAACTCACTTATAAGACTTCAACTCTCAACTTGGAATTGAGGAATGACAACCACTAAAGACAAGATGAAACTACTCACTATGGGGATCGAACTGATACTAACAATAATGGAGCTACCCGGGAAACTAGGCTTACGATCCAGACTTTGGTTCTGCAGCTACTGATCCCAAGGCTGACTATCCAGACTTTGGTTCTGCAGCTACTGATCCCAAGGCTGACTATCCGGACTTTGACTCTTTAACTGTAAACTAGGGATTGAACCCTAAACTAGGGATCTAACACGACAACTATAGCACCACACTTTTACTTATAGCACCGGTACTATTGAACATTACTGGTCAAAACTTCGTTACAACTAAAGCTATGGGGCACTAACTCAGGATTCTTATTCCTCCGCAACTAACCTAAAACCATATGCTTACTTTTGAGTCTTAAACTACTGATCCCGATTATGTATTTTGCCCTTCTAAGGCTTATTCCACTGCTTCTAAGACTAAAGTAAGAATCAGACTTAACCCCTTACTTATTAGAATTGCACCAGTGTACAGGTAAGGATGAACTGAGACTTCTAATACCGGTCATTACAATAAAGAATTGGGAAAGTGCCTCTCATACCGAGCCAAGTCCTGTTTTGGGGAGCCCCGGACCAGAGAAGGATATGCATCTTAAACAGGAACCAGAGGCAGAGG